TGTGTGTGAATGGAAGATGGGCATAAGTGATAAAAAGGAAATGACAAACACTAGCTTTATACGATGTGACAGAAATGCTGGGCAGCCTGAGGAGCTTACAGAGGGAATAGAAAGCAACCACAGGTTCAAATAGGCAACCAGACAGGTTTTCAACATTTTTAATCATATAAACACAGCTAGCACAGCATGGCATTTCTTCCTTGTCTTTCCATCTCAGTTTAAGCTGACACTTTCCCAAAAAGCTTTCCCCATAGCTACACTGTGGCTGGGTCTGGGGGCTGCAGGAGTTTGGCTTCTCAAGAGAGGATTTTCTCCCGGGTTTCGGGCAGCTTTAGAGCTACCAGACCTCCGCAGACGAGGGCGGAGAAGGCCAGGAAGATGGGGATGATCTTAGTGATGCCGATGAAGGCTGCAAATATGAAGCTGGCAATGATGGCTGCAAACTTACAGATCCCATTCAGGATACCGAACGCTGTCCCTCTGCAGGATCAGAAAGACAAAGGAAGATTAGATGCCTAATTTCCATACCTGACTGATGAATTGAATATGATTCGACAGTGCAAGTCATTTTGTTTCTTTTTGAGTGAATTGCTGTCTTAAAAAGATTTTGATAAATATTGTAAAAATGTAAAAGTTCTATGTGTGCTAAGTCATCACATCAGATTGTCTTTGTCCGTCTGAATGAAATGTCCTCTCAGCAATTCTTTGCTGAGAGGCAGAATTGTCCTGTACCTTTTATGGCAGAGGTTAAATTAGCTTGTAGCTCTTAACACAGGGGTTAAATCGACTGTTCCGACCCTCCGTAATGTGAACACGGCACATTGTGCAGTTCAGAATGATAAAAGAAGCAGACTTTATCCAGTTGAAACATGAAATTTCTGTCATTTCTGAAACAACGGCTTTTCGATTTCATACAAAATATAACAGGCTTATGCTTTCTAGTCGACAACCACCAATTACAATGTTACCAATGATACTAATTAGGNNCATTTAGTGTAGCAGAGCCTTTCACAGTGAGCAAACATGCACAGTAGCACGTTAATTAGTATGATTAGTAACACCTGTGTTTACTCCACTATTTCATACCAAAATGGCTGCTGTGAAAAACGTCTATATGGCAGTTGTCTCTAGCAGATCAACTGTATTAGCCAACTGTTAGCATTAGCTAATTAGTTAAGAGCAGGACTGAGCTAATGGTAGCCTAAACTCCGTTACAGTGGGTGTTCCAGTCTTTAGGCTTTATCTAATGCAAACCCACAAAACAATGTGGTTTAGCAAATGACATGCTGCTTGGCTTTGGGAGTAACGTTACTGCTGTAGTTATGTAAGCTAGTTAGCTGGCCATGCCACCATTGGCTACTAGAACAGATATACATTTTTCTCATGTTTTTTCGTTTTTTCGTTCAGTAATATGAAAAAGACCAAATGCTTTAGACACTAACTATCTCCCGTACTAAAGCCCCATGCACAACACTTGAACATGTGGAGACATTCAAAGCTTGATAGGACTGCCATGCTGTTTGGGTGAGGGTTTATTGAAAGGTTAACTGGGACAAACCTTACAGGGAACGGGTAGAAATCAACTGTGGTATGGTAGAGATCACACTGGATCTTTCACCCTGTGGGACTGAATTAGACTGTACCTTTTAGAGGAGGGGTAGAGTTCCACAGAAATGACTTCTAGTCCGTTCCAGGCCGCCACGCTGGTGCCATAGAAGAGACACTGCCAACATATGACAGCTCCTTGACTGAAACTTAGCAGTAACAGGAAAGTACAGGCAGACGACACCAACATAGAGCCGCCTAGAAAGAAAGACAGATGATGAAATACTGACACAGATTTGGCCTCGGTTACTGTACTTATACCACTCTGTGCTGATCTCACCTATTATTCTGATTCTTCCTATCTTGTCCATGAACAATGCGGAGATGATGTTGCCAGGCAACACAGCCAAGCTGCCCAGGAAGCTGACCATGTAGATGACAATGTCATTCTCCTCCTGGAAGTTCAGATGGCAGCCTTTCTTTGGGTGGAGGAAGGTGGTGTTCTCCATTCGACACTCTTTAAACTTTTCGTGCCAGAGGTCTGCAGAGAACAGAGGGATTTAAAAGGAGGGACTGCTAATGCTGGTTTTTGGGGTATTTTTTTTTTTTATTTCTCCTTAGTGCTAGAGGATGAACATATTGCAAAGTCTTTCACTAAAATTACTGTTTTGGGGCAGCATTAACGTTTTAATATATCTTTTATATAGCACTAATAAGTTGAGTTTCTTTATCCTTAGATCTGAAGGAGTGAGCATCTTAAGAATTTTATCACAATCGTTCATGATGAATTTTTGATACCTGTGTTATAGAAGACAGTGTTTTTGATGGTGCAATTCTCAAAGAAGGTGTTGGTTGACCTGACATCCTCAAAGTAGCAGTTTTCAAACAGAGAATCCTCAAACTTCACAGACTTGATCTCAATGTTTGCAAACCTAAATGAAAGGAAAGAAATCGCATTAAGCAGTAGTATAAACAACTTTTGAACTGTGACTTTAAAGAGCATGACCCAAATATAATATGAGCATATGTTTATATATATGAGGAGCGGTGCTGAGGAGACATACTTGTCATGGATGTACTCTCCCTCGCGGTGGATCTGGTTGACCAGAGAGAAGTTGAAGTGGAACCGTTCGACCCGTTCTCGGTGGAACACTCGGACCTTGGACTCGTACTCCTCATACTGCATGTATTTGATCATATCAGGGAACCACACTCCCAGCCCGTGGTAACTGATATACATAGAAAACAAAAAAACCTGAGCACATTAAAAAAAAACGCTCTGCATAGCTAAATTTTATCACAAGGGCACAGGAAGTAAGAAAATGGTTTTCTTTAGCTCTGCCTGGGAGAAGTTTACAAATATCCACTTTCAAAAATGCATGATTTGAACAAAAAACTAGCAGCAGGGATATAAGTGTATACTACTAAGATATTTTTGCCAAATATCTCAATGTGGGTCTACAGGCTTTAATTCATTGTTGCTACCTGAAGGCCAAGCAGAACCAGACAATAACCAGGAAGAGGCCTTGCAGTCTGAGCTCTGGAGCTGATAGTGACATTATGTTAGCCATAACCTGAAAGAGGGACAGACAATTAAGATAGACATGTAAGATCTGCAGAAAAAAGGGGATGAAAACACAGTTTCAGTATAAGTAAGACAAATGCAAAGTTCATTTCCTATTATATGTATTCTGTTCTATTTGAGTCTAGTGTAGGAGTGATCTGCAGACCTGTTGCAGCATGGTCATGTGTCTGACGGTCCAGCGCTGGAAAGCAGTTCCAGTGTCACTCTGGATCTCTATGAATTCGTCTTCCTGAGTTTGTGGAGTCTTAATGTTGGTCACCTTCACAAAGAGAGAGGAGTTTGGACACATAATGAATAAGTTCATCCTCAACTGGAATTCAGAGCACATTATTTAATTTAAAAATTTAAAACAGGGTTTAATGAAACCTAAAAAAATATATCTAATAGAAAATACACACTATAAAGACAGATTGACTTTAAACAAATGTCAGTCTTTCACTAAAATCACTGGTGTAACCAATAACATTAATGATGGCTACATTCCATTAAAGTGCCCCAGTAAGCTAAGACAATGAGCTAAGGGCAGCAGGGCCTTGAACACCTAAATGCACCGCAGCCATCGAGAATGCAATCATTTATGTTATTTATGAGCGCTGAGGATCAGATGTAACGCCTCTAGTTACATTTTTTTTGTTAATCAACTGCTAAATTACATAAGTGATGGTGAGTGGTCGGGCAATCAGCAGTGTTGGTATAAATAAAGGCTTACAGTGAAGACCCTCTCTGGCTCCCCCTTGGCCTTCCAGTTGGTGTCGTGAACTTGGCGCAGGATCATCCAAGCCTCATCATGTCGGGCATTCTAAAAAACGAAGCCACACATGGAAACATATCTATGAATGTCGACACAACCAACGTGCCAAGAGAGTTCTGTGAAAGCTCTCAGGGTTTCTTGTTTCCCACACACACTGCAGCCTGCCAGACTCAGTTGAGTAATCGTTCCCATGAAGTCTGCTTCTTATCAGATGGGGAGATGTGTGATAATTTGGGGGTGTATGATATCAACATGTTGGAGCAGCCCTGCTGTAACATACAAATACAATACCACATGTGGTTAAGGGTCTGACAATGTCCTGGATGAGAAATAGGGTGGGTGGTGTCCCTGGTGGCGCCTTAGCAGCCTTTCGCTACCTTTGCACAGCAGTGGGATGTTGCTGTGGTGGCTGATGACTCAACATTTTTAACCAATCACAGCTTGATGTTTAATACTGTACACAGACATAATGAATATACACATAGGGAGCATTTATCTCAGAATTTTTGTGGTTATTCTTAATCGATCCTGTGTTGGCAGTACAGATAAATGTGCTTTTATGTTTTGCAGCTGAAGCGGACAATAAGACCACATATTTTAATATTGCATGTTTTAATCTGGGGACAGTCTGACCTCCAGGAGGAAACGAGGGCTCTCCGGCATGAAGATGATTCCAACAAGGGCAGCCAGCGCAGGGAAGAGACACACGAGAATAAACAATCTCCAACTGTGCATCTGGATCTCTGAACCGATGGCGAAGCCCCAGCCTAAAAAAACCATCCAGTAAAGAGCATGTTAAAATTTCATGTAAATCCATCTGTCTGGCATATTTTAATGTCCAAATCACTTTATTACTGTAGTGCAACAAAGCCCATCTTTATTGTCATCTTCTGTATGTACATAATTTGCATTTGATGAAGTGTGCGGATTCAAAAGTTGAAAGTTAATTACACACAGGCAACTTTGGGTTCATCTTGGACTCCCACAGAATTATTTTCAAGTTTTTACATATTTTTATGTGAATTATTCATATTTAGTAGATAATTGCAGGGAAAACATTGCAAGCTGAAGCATAAGAAGCACAAAGAGGATGTAAAAAATTCATTTAGACACATCCTTTTGTTCAGTCCAGAGTAAAAGTTCAGTAAAATAAACCTTTTCTCTACATACGTCAGCGCTTGTGTCTGTTACCATAGTGAGGGATGATCCCCCAGGCGGTGAAGGAGGCGTACAGGCCTCCCAGCATCCAGAACATACAAAGCCAGCTCAGATGTTCTCCACGTTTATCCATCTGCAGGAACTCTGTGAAGTAGGTGTACACTATCGGGATGGAGCCGCCAATTCTGGGGGAGAAATTGCAGGAAGAAAAAAATGAACTTTTATTCTTCCTCATGAAACACTTTTATTCTGTCCATCATCCTCAGAGGATTTAAGGAAACATTTGCTTTGGCGTGTGGCCTTTGACATGTTAACTGTGGGTTAATTCTAGTGATAAAGGACTGTAAGCTCATTATTTTGATGACTTACGAGAGGTTTCTTATTTTAAAATGTCGGTCCACGAAAAAAACACCCACATCTCACTTACTACAGATTTCTAGCTCTGCAGAAACTTTTGGTTTTATTTGTCCAGATTCTGAGATGTCTGTCTCTGCCTCCATCCCAACACATTGGAGGTGAATGGATTTAATATGTAGGTCAACAACAGCAATGTGTCTTTAGACACAATCTCCTGGATGCTCTGGACAATCAACAGACCAGAACAGACAGAACATTTTGAACTACTTTCTAGTGAAGAAATAGCTACTCTGAAAACTGCAGACAGCGCTTAAAAAATAAAATATCCACGCATAAAGATTTAAAATAAATAAGTGTAAATGTTAACAATAACAATTTATGTAGCAAATGGTTTTTCAGAATGTTTAAAACCAGTTTTACTGTCAGGTCAACAGACCTAAACTGTAACCATGAGTTCATCCATCAAAACCTACAAGTTAATACACAGACTGTGAAAAGTCAGCTCTGAAAACGTATGATAAAATGCATTTTGTGAGATAATGAGGAGTTGCTGATTGTTTGTGGAAGTCAGTTTGTTCAAAGGGTGCTCAGTGTTCATTATCGCCAGGATTGACCAGGATATGGTTAAAAACCAGGGGAAAAAAATTTTATAGTCACGTTTGCCTTTTAAACATAATTAGAAATGTATTTTAACAGACTTAAAAACTGTAAAAAAACAAAACAAAAAAAAACATATACTGAAATCACATTAAGTGAAGGACAGCAAAACTCTTACCACTACAGTATGAAGACAATCATTGGTATTTTAATGGGTTTCTTTATTTTATTTTTTTATTATGATAAGAAATCTTCTTGTATCTTCTTGGGTATGGAGTCTGCCTGCTCTTTATGTTTTATTAAATCCAGCAAAACAGGCGCAGTTCTTCTGCAGATGTGAGTGTTAATGACCAACATGGGGCTCATTATCACAGTGAATCAGCAACAGCTGAACGTTTATTTTGGCGACCTTGTATTTTTTGGCTTAGCATAAAGCCCAGGCATCAATATTACAGGTCTGGGTATACTCAGGCTACAATCATTATCAAAAGAAATGTGTCTTTTAAAGATCCAAAATCAATCTGTGCACTACACCAGGGTGCTGACGACTGCAGGAGCAATAAAACTCAAATTAAAAAAAGAGCATTGTTCACTTGTTTTAATTGGTATAATAAAGAAATGCTCTGTTGAAGTAAATAAAAATAAATCTACCTGTGTGCAGCTTACAATGTATATCTTGCACATTAAAGAGGAATATCAACTAACAAGTTGACTTGTTTTTATAGAATATGTCCTCTCTTTACCTCAGGCTGTTCCTAAAGGTCCACAGTTTGTCTTAATGGAAGTGCTACCTATTACTCATCTTACTTAAATGTCAGGTTTCTTATTTTGGAACAAATATCTTCAAATACAATTACTGTGAATGTGCTTTTCCCCCTAAATGTTACGAACAAGCTTGCTTCCATTAAAAGGATTATTTATGGAAAAGGTTAGTCATTGTAGTAGTCTTTTGCTCAAGCGAGGCAAATGCAAATGTGAGAATAAATGTAAATGGTAATGTAACTGTGTCTCACCCAAAGCCGGAGCAGAACCTGAAGAAGAGGAAGAAGCCATAGCTCTGAGCGAAGCAGGACAGGAAGGAGAAGACCAGGTCGATTGAGAGGACGTAGATCAGACACTTCCTCCTCCCCATCTTATCAGACAGACCCCCCCACACCAACGCCCCCACCATCATGGCTACATACACCAGCAGACCTACAAATATAAACACACAAGACACAAGTTATGTTTTACTCCCGTAATGTACGCACTGTGAAGGCTCTGCAGATACATATACATACATACAAACAAATATCATTGGAAGGACGTACTGACTATAGTAGATCTGTAATTAAAAAGAAAAAAAAGGCCAAGAGTCCTGATGTCCACAAGGGGGCTCCCTTTACCCTTGTATGAACACAGGAATAGAGAACTCACCACACTTACTACTGTAATTCACTATGATGTATCCTCTCATCCGTGCTCCGGTTCAACATTTCCAAATATCCATAATGACACACCAAGAAAAATATCTACTGATTATAGCATTTCTGGAAAAGGCTGAAAGGTCATAATAAGTTTGAGCCACCTAAAAGTGCTTCACTTCCACCGTGTTCACCTTCCATATTCCTACATCTGCTTTCAGCTTTGTTCACATGTGACACTCAGAACTGTATTGTTACTTTGATTGCAATGCTGAGTTTTTTTTTCTCACATTTTACCTGCAGATTCCCTCTCATAGCTGTCTGGAGCCTATCCCAGCGTGCACTAGGCAGGAGGTCTACTCTGCCATTTATTTTTCTTGTAAGGCAACAACCCTTAACAGTGACCAACTGTGCTGCCCATTACTGCACCAAGCAGATAATAATGATTATGTGTTTCCTTTCTATGTTTTTTGGGGAGAGTAATATTCTCTCCCCTGCTGTCGGCGTCAGGACTCAAACATGCAACATCGGCCATCCTCCTCACAGTGTTGTTTAAACCTTTGGACCCATACCTCCTGCCTGCTCTGTGTTTTTACTACACACAACCCTAATTACAGTGCAACTAAGCAGCTTAACGGCACGTGGAGCCATAGTGTGCACCTTCCCTGTGGATTACTAGACTATCCAAATGCTCTGGCGCTCCACACGCCAAGCTGCACATCCCTAACTCATTCAACAAGAGACTGCTCAGGGCACTGGGAGACAAAGAGTCGAGGCTAACATGTCACCTAATATAATAATAATAGATAAAATAAATAAATATAATAATGGCCAAGTTGTTGCCTAAGGGCTTGTGTATGCCTTAGATATGTACATGGACAGGTTGACAGGGTGGCCTTGTGATTAGAGAGACTGTCCTTCAGGTGGAGGCCAAGGATCAGGCCCTGCAGCAACAAGCTTCTATCTGCCTGTTAAAACGTCCTTGAGCACGGTGAAGACACAGAATCCCTTGAGGGGACAGAAGAGGTTTTCCTGCAATATTAAAAGTGAAAGCACTGTTGGTGCATTTAGTGAATCTAGCTGAAGAGACAATGAATCTACTAAAAAAGACTGCATACATTTGCAGAGCATGCATCCTCGAAACATTCACGTCAATTTTGTTTAAATTTTAGTTCCATTACACATATATAGAAATTAAGTAATAAGTCACTACAAATGTTGCAGCATCCGGCTCAGTTTCTTTACTTAAACAACCTGGTAACATTTGACATAATATGAGTTTTAGAATTACTGAACAATGAAAAACCCAGCAGCATTTTTCCAAAATGGCTTGATAACAGTGAAAAGCCTTTAAGTGACAATCCTCTCCATTTTCCTGTTACGTCAATTTTGCTATTCTCTATCTCAGATTGACTAAACACTACTAATTGAATTTGTGGCCAGTGAATGAAAATGGCAGCAATTGCTGGCCTGGAGCCACTGCACCAACTGTTTTCAAATTCAGACATAGTCTAGTTAGATGTTTATTGGTGGAAATTTCACACATCATTAAATTAAAACAGGCTGCAATGCACAAACTAGTTCTTAGAGAGTTATTACTACTATTAACATTTACAGCAAGACGTAAGTGCTGCATAGCTAACTGAACCCACTGACAAAACTAACGTTAGCTTGCTAATATATGACTTCAATTTAAGAGTAAAATAGATAAACTAATGGGATATAGTCAACACATCTGACCTGACACTTGATCAAATGATAATGTAAACTGTAAAGATTTTATATTACAATCAACAAAAATAACATATTACACACACACACAAGAACTTAACACACAATGGCTGCAGGCTGGTGCAAACCAATCCAAAGTCTTCTGGTAGGTAAGAAATTATGTTTTTTACATGTTATGCAACAGTAACAGCAGTTTGTATGGAGTGAGAAGTAAGTAAGAATAAGAGCTGGATAACTCGCATGAGCAGTGAAGCTGTCATTGCATAGAACATCTAAAGAAACCTGTACAAGGTCAACATTTGATTGACGTGATTTCTGGGTGGTGCAGTGCAAAAACATTACAGCTATGAATGCCAAGCACAGAAGATATTCTAGGGTATCCCTTAACTGCAGCAGGGAAGCATAAAACCATCTCATAGTTTATGCATGAACTTTTTAATTGCAAATCCAGTTTGATTCAAGAAATGCAACAGCTGCAAGTTTAGCAGTTTCCTTGAAATAGTTGGTTAAATATCTGCAACTACATTAAGCCTGGCAGACAAACCTGCCAGAAGGTTCTCCTCTTTGTCTCCAGCATTGTGTCTCCCACTATAGCCTTCATGTATTTCCACTCTATAGATTAAACAATAAAACCACCATTAAAAGTAAGTGGACCAACCATCATCCTCTTTTTAACAAAAGGTTTGGGAGTCTGTCTGGTATCCAAGACAAAGGTTGAGATTAAACATACATCTGCTCCCGTGAATCTGGTGAACAGAGCATGAGCATGAATCAGATAGGATCATTCTACAGATCCACTTCATATTCTCAGCCAATGATCAGTGCTTCCCCGCCGCTCTGCACAGACACTGTGATTTCATTTTCGCCAGGCCTTCCTCCCGCTACCATAGCCTGTCAGAGGCCTGAAGCGTATCTGACAGCTCTGCACCAGGCGCTGCAGGCCGCCAGGCTCTCTGACTGCTGCAACATGCTCCATATTAGCCTGGGAACACACACTGAATACAATCACCACCGGGGTTCCTCATCAATCTCTTGCAATGCCTCATCCCCAGAGCCTGTTGTTAAGATGAAATGAGCGATGTGCAATCTGCCACATCGCCTGGCTACACATGAGGCCTGGGAAATAAGGTGAGGGGCTTTAATTTGCAGTTTAGTTGTCAGCACACAAAGTGAGGAACAGGCATTTTCAAGGTACATTTCCCCGTATGTTGGATCTCTGCTGCATACAATTTCAGTTTTAACTGTTGTGGTACAATATCTGGGAACAAGTTAAGCTAGCAGGCAACTGAAATTCTGAAAACATTTAAAGTATATTGAAAACGGGTGCTTAATTGTCTCTCTGGTGTTTAATATAATTAAACAATTAACTTGTGCGGCATCCCTCAAGTCAACTTCCAGACACTTGGCAAGGCTCAGTATCGGTGGCTCACAATGGACCCACACTCCATTACCACACAATGTTGGTAATTTTCGCATCTGCCTAGAAGGATCCAAGCCTTTTTCCATAATTTGTCCCAGCGGCTGGGGGGTATTTCTGTCTGACGCAGTGGTCTGCAACCATGTGCCATCGAGAGCCAAGCATATGCAGGATTTTGCTTCAGCCAAGCAAAACAGAAGATCTTTTTACTGATGAGTGCCTCCTCTCTGGGTAAAGATTGGAACTCTTGGAATGACACTGATGATTGTAATTAGCTAGTCTTGTAGGTTTCCAAAGATTGTATATCTGTTTTGGAGGAATCTGTTTGATTAATCAGTGTTGCTAGCTGCTTGGCTCAAGGGATGGCAATGGCACTTTTTCAGTCAGTCCGTTCACCACTTTGGTCCATCAACAACAGTTGGATTTCCATGAAATTTAGTACAAATATTCATGTTGCTAACTCCCTACTTCTCCTCTAGTGCCATCATCAGGCCAACATGTTAGCATGCTAATGCACTTAACTAATGGTGAGTATAGAATATTAGCATGCTTATGTTAGCATTTAGCTCAAGGCACAAACGTGACTGATTGAAAACAACAATGGTTGCTGCTAAAGAGTTTAGCTTAGATGCTGCTAGCATACGTTATACCAGAACTGGAGAGTGTCTTCATTGAACACATGGTACAAAAGGCTTTTCTCAATGGAACAGGTTATTGCTCTTCCCCCAACTGGCTTTGGTAAGAGTTTGACTATGTTATATGGTTCAATGATCTGATTGAATTTTGCCTGTGATAGATGGATAGTTCATCCTATCACCTGCCAAGTATTTTTTGAAAGTGCCTTTCCCAGTTTCTACAACCACCTAGATGTTTCTGTCCAACAAGAAATCTGGCGAATAGATAAAATTAAAAATTGAAGCCAGGACCATGTTCTCACCACATACACTCAGCAGAAACCTCAGTTTTTACACCTTCCCTCCATTTGTTGTCACTTACCCAGCAATCCTTTGTCAGAGTTGGATATGCACATGTCCTTCTCAGCACTGGGCAGGACGAAGCCCACCACGAAGCCGTCCACACCGTCAGCCATTAGTGCCAGGCCCAGCACGAAGAACAGCATCCACTGGAATCGTCCGTGGCCACAGTCCTCCATAATGGCTTCGTACTGATCTGGCAGGTTTTCCTCCTCCTCTTCCTGCTGCTGGCCAGCCAGACGGGCTTTCCTCCTGGCCTCCAGCCGGGCTGCCCGCCGTGCCTCCTTGATCTCGTCGGGGTGGGGGATGCCTTGGTACTCCCCCTCATACATCTGCTCATCATCATCTGCACCCTCGGTGGCATCGCTAGCAGCATCCTCTTCCTGTGGAGGGTAGTCTGTCTGGTAAGGGTAGCCGTCCTGACCTCCTCCATCCTGGGTGTAGGTGTATTCTCCACCCTCTGTCACCTGCTGGTTCACATTGTTGTGATAAGGGTCATCCATGGTTCCTGCTGGGTGTAAGTGGAGCAGGACTGACTTTGCCTTGTAGCCGGCGTACTCTAAGGAAGCTCAAGTTGTCAGCTATAATGGCATAATCCTCCCAAGGAGCTGTGAGTTGCTCTCAGTGTTGCTGCAAAGGAAGCTTCAGGTATTCTGTGGCTCGATCTTCAGAGAGGTCTCAGTCTCAAATTTAAGGCCTCCGTTGAAAGACTATTGCCTTTCTTGATTTGCACCGTGCTGCATGCTGAACCTAAAACACAATGCACACAACACATCACATATAGTCTGTCAGCATAATAGCAATGAAGAATGCACTGGTAGAGCAGAAACATCGCCATGCAACAGTCCCCTTTGGGACAGCTTGTGACTTGCTAAGTCAAGTCCCAATTACAGTCTCAGGGGATTTCACAACATCATAATATAAAAAAACATTAAGGGCACATCATGACCTTTGACCCTCAACCAAGGACAAAGTCCTAGAAAACCTAGAGACATGTTCAAATAGAGGGGCAAGGGCCATTTTTTAAATCGTATTTAATTCCACTCCCACAGTTGATTGTCTCGCTTTTTGTTACTTTGCTATAGTTTCATTTCATGTCAAGCTCAACAATTTTATGTTATTTATAACTACTTGTAAAGGACATCTAGTCCTAAATAAATGTCCGTTATTATTCTAGTGAGAAACTAAAAGTGTCATTAGGCAGGAAAGAGCAGTTCAGCACTCCCAGTCTCCCTTGTAGGCTGTGTGTCCTTCCACACAACCAGATAATCTCATCGTCTATTCGCTCAAATGCTCTGACGCCATTTTGATCCATCACACTGCTGCAACGATGACACATTCAAATCTGTCTTGATTTTTATAGCGGTCAGTGGCACCAGCAGGAAGACAATAACAACAAATTACATTGCGTTTTAGGAATTCTGCGGGCTGTCGCATGCATTACTGACATGATTAGGGACTTGCACTGTGTAGTCAGAGCCATATTCTTACAATATCAAGCAAATCGTTAGCCTGAGGCTGGATCATCTGTGACTTACAGATAACAAATGATAGGCAACAAAGCTGCATAGCTGAATGCCAAATACAGCACACAAGAAAGTCACTAATTTCAGTGTCACGCTGTTCACAACTGTGAAATAACACAAATCTTTAACCTGCATGTGCTCAATCTGGTACAACTGTGTTCCCAGAGATGTTTTTTTTTGTTTTAACTTCTCTCTGCTGCTACTGCTTTACATTCTCACTGTATTGCCTTTAAAACTAACCATTTAAGTTTTACTGTGAACATTTGAGAATAATGGTAAAGGCTAAAATGTTTTAGCAGTATCAATTGTAGCACAAGTAGAGAAGAGTCATAAAGCCAAGTCTTATTTCAAAAGTTACATTTTAGGAGCCAGACATGTTCCTCTTACTTTTGACATTGACCACTGTCTCAAAACACTTGCTATGTAACTGTTTTAAATATGTTGTGGAAGTTTAATTAAGGAATCTGACACTTTATTGACACTGAGTTGCATGTAACATCTATATCTCAACAAAAACTGCATTAAAAAACTGGTTTCTTTATGACACAAGACAGGAAGACTAGTCGTTTTTTTCACTTTTAGTCTCGCATAGTTCTGAAACCAATGAAATATTGATGTGAAACAAGTAGGCAACATCTACTTTGTAATAAAAACTAACAGCGTTTGTGGAAAAGTCTGAGCTAATACTACTGTGTAAGAATTTTTCTTTAGTAACATTTTGAAACATGTAAAATAGGGTGTTTTGGAATTTATATTAAAACTGTGGAAACAAAAAATAAATATTTGTAAATGTTAACATTGTTCCTGTCAAGGACATAAGTTACATAATAATGTTACAACATTCTATTTGTGTATAGCACAGATATTTGTTAAATTAATGGTATTTTATGATTATCTTTGTCACTTTCTTTAAATGGGTATTACTGGTTACATCCAGAAACAATTGTAGTCTATCCGACAAGTGAAGGGTTGGTTTGGTTTAGGTTGGTCTGTTCTGGTTTGGGGCCAGGATGACGAACACTGTAATTTAATCCAGATTAAGACTGCAGATTTTTTTTCATTTTGCCCTTGTTGCCTCACAGTATTGTTTCATCACTGAAGTCACAGAGGCGGCCGATAGCGGCGGTGGATTATGGGGTCTAGATTGAAGCACTGAAATGTATTTGCTGCTCCTGGATGTTTAGTTTTGAAATCCCAAAGTCGGTGTTGAGTTTTGTTGCTGGGAGTAACTAGTAAAATTTCAGTACCATGATGTGATCACCTTTTGCTTTTTCCTTCAGTAATGTGAATAATACATAAATGATTCAGGCGAGAAAGTGAGAGGGTGGATATTCAGTGTGGTTGAGGGAAGCGGTGTGGCTTTCATCATCCTGCTGCAGCGCCTTTACTCACACAGCTGGCGCTTACATAACAGCTGGGTTGCCTGTACTCACTCTTTCCCCCTTCTGTCTCCCTCCCTCTCCCTTCTCTTCAGACTTATTGATCTGCGTTTGTGTTTATCAATGTATCAACCTGACCCCGCTTACCCCAAACACACACTAACTCAGATGTCAAATCAGCATTTATGCCTGTGCAGAGTTTGAATAGGTCATGATCTGCCTTCCTCTGAGAGCGTCCCCGGTGTTGAAAAGTCAAAGAGCTCCTCTGAATCATGAAAATCAATGTGAGTCTGGGGTTTAACAGGAAGCAGAGAGGTTGCCGCGTAATTTACAAAAAGCTATCTCAATTCCACAAGTGACCTTTTAGTGCTCAGATCATTTATTAGTTTGACTGAGCCAAACTCCGCTTCATCAGTTACTGTAGCTTGTTCTACAGAGAGCAACGGAACCACACACATTTGTGGAGTTACATTTGAATGTGTGTGGTAACAATAGCTGCATACACACTGACACACACACACACATAGTAGACAACAGTTAAGCTGCTCTGGAGCCAGCAATTGAATACTTTTTCCAGCTCTTGCTTCATTTTAATTCATCCAGTCACCTGGAATGCACCCAGTATAACCACAATCATCCACTGCTGGTCACAAATCAGCTCCAAGTGCCTTGTTCTGCCTTCCTTTCATCAGCTCTAAGTGCACTGCTCAAGGGCACCCCATCAGTAGTTACTGAGAGTTGGGGAAGTGCTTATTTATTCACTTTCTTCAACCATATTTGCACACTTTGATGTAAGCTATAATTATATTTGGGTATGGAAATGGAAAAAAAATCATTAATCAACTCTACCACCCACATCTTTTGGCAGTCTTTATCTGTACAAAACCTGGAACGTAACCAAGAGAGTTGCTCTAAAGAAAAAGGGCGTCACCACAAGTACAGCTGTTTTTGCTTTATCTTATGTACATGGGGAAATGATGCAGTGTGTGCACCTGAACAGTTTTTGGGGGATAAAAACATCCTTTTCTTTGCTTGGAAATGACCAAAATTGCACATGATGTCATCAGCATAAGTGTATAGCCCAGTTTCCTCAATAATGGCTGACATTTTCTACCAGTTTGCTCCAGCAGGCCACCACTAAGCAACAGGGTGAGGGGTTTGATTGCCACAGATTTTAAAAGGTTAAAAACATGAAAAAAATAAATCTACTACATGTGTTGAATCTGCTGTTGAAGTAACTCGACTGTCAAAACAGTGAGTTCATTTTAATCTCAGCTCCTCTGTGACCTCGAAGGACAATCCTTCGTGATTTCTGGGGACAACCTGTCTGCTAACCCGCCAGATACATTTATTAGCAACATGTTTCTGTGTAAAATGTCACTAGGTCAGTTACAGAGCAAGAGTTGCCATTCTGGGCCTTATAAAATATGTCACTCATGATTTTTTTATGCCAATACCTTTACTACCAAAAAATGCTACACTGAATAGATCCTGATAATAGTCAGTAGAATTCTTCTTATGCATTGGAAATAAATACGAGAGTATCCTCTGTCCTACACATCAGCTTTAATCAAGTAGCAAGGTGACTGAAGGTTGACAGAATGAGAACTTATTCTGTAGACATAAGGGTTTTGTTGTATGCATGGAAATGTTGATGGCTGAAGAAGAACTGTTGCTCTATTTTGATGTTGTTGTGAAGAACAAAACTAGAAAAAATAAATGATGGCACCACAGGTATTTTTCGGTCTGCATTATTTCTCACTTCCTCATTAATGTGTCTGACAAAACAACAAATGAAACAGCACGGCACAAAAAACATTTAAGGAAAATAAAAGTTGTCTTACCAGAGTTGGCATTCCCTTAATATACAAAAAAATTCGGAAACAAAACAAACTAACAAAATAAAAGAATGCTAAAACCCAAGTAGCATTTTCATATGTCCAAACGCCTACATGTCAGTTTATCCAAAGGCCGTGCTGCAGCCAAGCCTGAGGGATTAGGATCCAACCTCACGATCCCCCCCCACAACCCCTCCCTCACCAGGGCTCATCCCTACAGGAAACTCCCCGGAACTAACTCCCCCCACCTCCGGTACCCGATGGTACCGTCCTTCAAGTGTAAATAGCAACAGGCTCTACTGACTGCAAACTGTGGCGACACTACAGGAGTTTTTGTGATCCTCACTGATCCTCCTCTACAAACGCTCCTCTACGGAGAGGTCAGAGGTCATCGTCAGCTGTCACACCAGGGCCGGAGCTTGTGGAGATGAATTTTTTGCTTACTGACACTTCAGCAGGGTTGTCATGGAGACTTCAATCTGGGCCTTCAGCGGTCTGCAATCACAGTCAAGAGATCTCTAAGAGTGTGCATGTTTTGAGATCCAAGATTCGAACACTACACCAGATGGTTGGAGGACATATTTAGATAATGGTTGTCTATAGTTACATCAGCTGTTCTTTCACATAAGCAGAAGGTCCCATCACTGAAATGTATGTCCAAGTGTCCTTAAATAAGACATTGACTGTAGCTGCTCATCCATCCTGAGTCACTCCGGATAAGCATATCATGAAAAATGGCTAAAATATTCCTCTTCCCTTG